TGTTTCAGATAGTTAAGATGTCCTGTGCTAGTAGCATGCTGGATATCTGGACTGCTGCTCAACACATCTCATGACCCCTGACTAGCCTTGCTGATTGGAGTACTAGTGTAGGGGGCAGTGGCAGACCTAATAACCAAAGGGCCCTGGTGCAAGATTGTATCGGGGGGGCGCGGGAGTGTTTCACACTGGCCCTCGCCCCCCAGCGGTCTCTAATGTTGCATTAGTGTGCTGGACTTACCTGAGACCCTGCAGAGCACACCATAGATCCTGCATAGCCCACCCGAGACTCTCTACGGTTGGCTCTGCAGGGTCCCAGGTGGGCTGGTCTGGTCGTCGGGATGCCGCCCCGGTACAGTTGATACCCATGTAAGAGGCCCCCCAGACCCCTCACATGGGTACCGGCCATACCCCCCTGATGGCGGTGTTCTATCAAAGGTTGTGATTACGTTAGAATGTGTGACCGGTGACGTGGTCACACGTTTTAACGTAATCCCGCCCAGTTTTCCGGCGGTGGAAAGTTTGACCGCCAATAGGTGAAGCATTCCAGCGCTTTCCCAGCTGTTCCAGGGCAGATCGGCATCACAAATCGCATGTGCAGGAGAAGCGATCTGCCCTGAAACAGCTGATTGGACCTGAAATGTCACTTCTCTCCGACTGCAATCTCACATTCCACCGCACTCACAAAGTCGGATAGAAGTGACATTTCAGGACCGGTCAGCTGTTTCAGGTCAGATCCAGTGGTGTATTTAGGTTTTGTGCTGCCCTAGGCAAGACGAAATTCGGCACCCCCCATCTAAATTCGTCCAACCCCTGCCTGTTCAAGACATTTTGCGTAACCTGTCAAGTTGCTGAATGCAGCTTCTTACAGGTTGCGCTATTAGGCCTCATTCACACAGTGTGATTGTACGCAGCAGCCTGTTCTTCTCTATGGGAGGATGCGGCTGTACTCTGCACTACGCTCACCCGCCTTGCACGTACATGAAGGTGTCCGTACTCGTACACAGACAGGTGTCCAAGCACGGACACCCACATGGATGTGCAGTTCGGGTGTGCATACGGCCGCATCCTTCCATAGAGAAGAACAGGCTGCTGCGTACAATCACACGCAACTCCTGTCCTTCCCGAGAACGGCCCGTTACGACCGTGCATGCCACATGGATCTGTATGGGCCGACACTTAGATGTGTGAATGAGGCCTTAGCGTTGCAGGGAAGCAAGGGTCTGAGGTGGGCTGTAAAGGATCTCTGGTTAGCTCTGCAGTGTCTCAGGCAGAGATTGCCAAAGACCCCGCACATCCCACCGTAGACCTTGCACAGCACTCCTGAGTCCTGAAAACCCCACCAGAGACCCCTCCAGAGCCCACCATAGACCTTGCACAGCCCACCATAGACCCTGCACAGAAACTCAAGTGGGCTGTGCAGGATCTATTATGGGCTGTACAAGGTCCCTTTCCCTGCACACGTGCTGCTCCTCTTCCCTGCAGCTCCCCAGCCTGCTTCCAGAACATGCCGCTTCTTCCTGCATCTTCGCCCGGCCGCCGAAGCTTCTTCCTCCAGCCACCCGCAGCCTACGCCGGCCGGAACGCCTCTCTCACGATCCCATCAGCAGTCTTCCTTCCCTGCCTAGACCCAGTGGCACAACGGCTTCCTGGACCCACCTGCAGACTCCGGCGGCCGAGCCGCATCTCCCTCAGCCCCGGCCACGCCTCCTCTCTCACCCGGCAGCTCGCGGCCAGTCTCTACTAGAATCCACACACCTCCTGTGACTCACCTCCACTCCCACCGCCTGTTACTATGGACACGGCCGGGAGGGGAGGTGAGTCACAGGACCCGCCCCCTCACTGAGAAGCCCGTCGGCAGGGCCCCGGTGTTCGAACATCGGGACCGTGCACTGCCCCATATTTCAGGACTGGACCCCACTGAGCCTCAGGCCCCGGTGCCCCGGCACCGGCGGTAGTTCCACCACTGGTAGGGGGTGCGATAGACCATTGTAGACCCAGACTGCTGCGCTGTGTATTGTGCAGCAATCTGCATCTGCAGCATGCTTCCAGCACAATAGTACATTAAAAAGCTGCTAATGCAGACTCACTGCATTACAATAATAATAAATGAAGCTTATGTTGGGCTTCAGTGGAATCTGCACACTCTTTGTCACTGTGTTCTCCCTCTGGCTGCATGTCCTGTAATGACTGATTTCTGGAATCTGCTGCCTGCCCTAGTGTTTACCTTGGTGTCTGTGATTTTCCAGTAGTCTTGTGTAGGCAACACTTAACCTGCTGAATGTCCTCAAAATTAATTGCAGACAGATTTCCATCTGTCAGTTTCACATATTAAGCATGCAGGGGAGATGTTTCTGAAAGTGAATATGCCCTTTAATTTTCTTTTTCAGACAGCTTTGTTACTGTTCAGTAGACTGATCATTTTGTTTGTATCTTTGGCTTCCTAAGCTCTCTAAAATTAGGGGATGGAGACAGACGTCTCTCTGTGGAAATCTGGGACTGGGACCGTACATCGAGAAATGACTTCATGGGCTCCATGTCCTTTGGTGTCTCGGAAATTATGAAGAATGCTGTTGATGGCTGGTAATTGTTTTTGAACTTTTGCACTGTAGCAGACTCATAGCATATTGTGTCTCTGTGGTGCTTTTTGGTGAATGCGCTGGCTAAAGTTGTAGTGTAGGTTATCAGTGAAACGTCCAGCTTTAATATAAACAAAGCATTGCAAATATATGGAACATCATTCACAGATGACAATTTCTACCAATACCTACCTTACTTTCCTTTCTTTTTTCCTTATCTTTCTTTCACTGTTTTATATTTGTTCATTCTGTGTTTCCTCAAATTTTATTTGCCCTCATTTTCTGTAATAATTCCTTGATTTTATAATTTTCTTGATTTGAACTTTATTTTTATTTTTTTTATGCCCTTTATGATACCTCCATGAAATCACACACACAATGCTACTTCTGTGGTTTCAATTATTTTAACATTGCTCATCCACGTGTTGCTGATCAACTCAAACTTCCCACCATTTCTTTGGTCTGCCACCTTCTCACCGTGTTACCCTCTTCTTTGGTGCTGGTTGTCTGTCTGCCGCATGTCTCTCTCAGGTACAGGCTATTGAACCAAGAAGAAGGCGAGTATTACAATGTGCCCATAACTGATGACCCAGATGACTTTGGACTTCGGCTAAAGTTTGAGGTACAGGCCTTGCCCATGCTCCCATAGGGCAGATGTTTAGGTGGTGCCAGTACCTTATTTTTATCATGATTTCTAAGAGTATACCATCGATTATTTTCAAATCTACAGTTATAACAGTATTTACACTTGCCTTATAAAGGATGTCAAATTTGTAAAATGTAGGACTGTATAATTAATGGGTGGTGTTATGTTTTGGGTGTTGACTACTGTAACCTCTTCAAACCAGATCCAGAAATGTGCAGCTTCATAGTAATACTTATTTTGTGTTCCGCTCAGCAAGCTATTTTACTTTGTGTTGGGTCTTTAGAACATAGAAGATACATTTTTTTTCAACATGTGATTAAAGCAAGAGTATCTAGGTGGTTAAATCCTACTAAAATGTAAAGTATATGTAAAACCTTTTTTTTTTTTTTTTAAAGATTTGGATAGTGTAGGGAATAGTTAAGATCCCTGACAGTTTTGTTTCCCTATTGGTGAGGTTTCACTTTACTTCTTGTGACCAAAGTGAAAAGATATCCTCCCTTGGACAATTGTCACCAAAACAGTTTTCCCCACTGGAAGATTTTTCCCTAACTTCCTGTGACAACAATTTAAGAACAGTGGTCACCAGGTAAGTGAGGGCCAATCTCTCCAGGGAGAATGCAGACAGCAATAAAAACTCAACAGGTATTAATCCTTCTACTTTACACTTTAAAGCCCTTATAGCACCTTTGCATAATATTGGACAACCCAACAAGGACCACGTTGATTGATCTACCCTGTTTGTTCTTTGGCAAGCCCAAAGCTCATGGGACACTGGGTAGCACCAATCTGGGGATTGGAGCATAGGTGTTGGTGTAATATACCCTTATACTTCCCTCTACTCACATGCACAGATCCCTAGGGTTTGAATTGACAGTATACTATGAGTGGCCAGATTATTATGACCACCCCATCAGTACTTCGTTGGGCCATGAGATGACTCCACGAGATGACTTTGTTGGGCCGCCTCGTGACTCCACGAGATGTTGAAAGGTGATGCGAGGAATCTGACACTGCACTGTTGCTCTTCTGTTGTTTACCAGTCTTGCCACTCTCCGTTTTGCCCTAACATTGACTAGTCGCTGACGGACACAATTTGCACGTTCAGACCCAGATTTTAGGCTGACAGTCCAGTCTTTAAACACTTTAACAACAGCTGCTCTTGAACATTTAACGAATTCTGCTGTTTTGCTGATACTCGCTCCATAGCTCGCGCCAACAATCATCCCACGTTCAAAGGCTGTTAAATCGCGTTGTTAACCCATATCTTCAGAAAAAAATCACTTCTACTGTCGTGGTAAACAACCTGCTTCCCTATTTATACTGGTCTGGCCCTCTAGCAACTTCAGCGCGAAATTATAGCTAATTTGCCTACAAACGTTAGGTGGTCATAATAATCTGGCCACTCAGTGTATAATGCAACAATCGCCTTATGTAATTTCTGGATGAAATTTATCTTCTGGTCTTCACAGCCAGATTTGTGTATCAAGTCAGTATAACTGTACTTATTTTTTCATTATACATTTCTCACTATAGTAATCTACAAATGTATAGTATATAACTATTCAGATTAAAACCATGTTTCCACACCTGGTAATTTAAAGGGGCAATTAAAATACAGCACAAAGGGGCATATAGTTCATCTTCTGTAGTTAAGCTCTAGCTATGAAAAAAAATGGAAGGCACTGTTACATTTACAAATTTAAAAGACGATTTGATTTGATTTTTCACCCAAAGAAATTGAGATTGTGGGATTGTTCCCTTGAGCACTTTGGCTACCTTTACATCTGAGACAGATGGTTTACAGTATAAGTTAATATAAGGAGCCATATTTGCATATAGCTGATTTTTGCATAGTGTTGCTAAATGGAGAAAGATAAGTACAGTAGAGATGACAATACTAACAAAAACTGGTTTTATAAAATTTCATGTATCTAAATGATTGAGATTGTAGCCCATCAACAATCTGGGGATTGGAGCATAGGTGTTGGTGTAATATACCCTTATACTTCCCTCTACTCACATGCACAGATCCCTAGGGTTTGAATTGACAGTATACTATGAGTGGCCAGATTATTATGACCACCCCATCAGTACTTCGTTGGGCCATGAGATGACTCCACGAGATGACTTTGTTGGGCCGCCTCGTGACTCCACGAGATGTTGAAAGGTGATGCGAGGAATCTGACACTGCACTGTTGCTCTTCTGTTGTTTACCAGTCTTGCCACTCTCCGTTTTGCCCTAACATTGACTAGTCGCTGACGGACACAATTTGCACGTTCAGACCCAGATTTTAGGCTGACAGTCCAGTCTTTAAACACTTTAACAACAGCTGCTCTTGAACATTTAACGAATTCTGCTGTTTTGCTGATACTCGCTCCATAGCTCGCGCCAACAATCATCCCACGTTCAAAGGCTGTTAAATCGCGTTGTTAACCCATATCTTCAGAAAAAAATCACTTCTACTGTCGTGGTAAACAACCTGCTTCCCTATTTATACTGGTCTGGCCCTCTAGCAACTTCAGCGCGAAATTATAGCTAATTTGCCTACAAACGTTAGGTGGTCATAATAATCTGGCCACTCAGTGTATAATGCAACAATCGCCTTATGTAATTTCTGGATGAAATTTATCTTCTGGTCTTCACAGCCAGATTTGTGTATCAAGTCAGTATAACTGTACTTATTTTTTCATTATACATTTCTCACTATAGTAATCTACAAATGTATAGTATATAACTATTCAGATTAAAACCATGTTTCCACACCTGGTAATTTAAAGGGGCAATTAAAATACAGCACAAAGGGGCATATAGTTCATCTTCTGTAGTTAAGCTCTAGCTATGAAAAAAAATGGAAGGCACTGTTACATTTACAAATTTAAAAGACGATTTGATTTGATTTTTCACCCAAAGAAATTGAGATTGTGGGATTGTTCCCTTGAGCACTTTGGCTACCTTTACATCTGAGACAGATGGTTTACAGTATAAGTTAATATAAGGAGCCATATTTGCATATAGCTGATTTTTGCATAGTGTTGCTAAATGGAGAAAGATAAGTACAGTAGAGATGACAATACTAACAAAAACTGGTTTTATAAAATTTCATGTATCTAAATGATTGAGATTGTAGCCCATCATGGGAGTGAGCTTGGACCGGTGGCTACTTTACAGCACACACTCACAGGGACCATGGGGAACAAAAGTATCCACCCTCCAAGAAGGATAATGTCAGAATGAATTCAGAGACGATTTGACGATGCACAAATAAGCTACATTTTTGTTAATAAAGCAAACTCCCCATTATCTGGCATTCAAGCAACCAGAAAAAGAAAATCGAGGACATATGTCCTCAATTGTTTTGCCATTTGTTTGATAGACATGTGCACACTAAAAAATGTTTTAGCAAGTACATTTATTTAGTTACTAATGAAATTATCTATTTACATCTTACTGTGGCTAATGGCTAGATTCCGCAGCTGGCAGGGGAATGTAAACAACGAGCAGTGGGCATGTGCAATAGCTGTTATTGGGTATGGCAATTTGAAATAGCCAATAGCAGTGGGGGTTGTTGCTTGAAAGTTAATACTAACGCTCAAGCAACCAGAAATTACAGTTATCCAGCATCTACCAATCCCCATGTGTGCCAGATAACTGGGAGTTTAGTGTAGTTAGGGTACTTGAATGCATTATTAGGATTTACCTCCTGAGTTTAGTGTCACTTTAAATTTAGTTAAAGTGACCTTGCATCAAACTCCAGGTCTGCTGTTTAGCAGCGCTTTTAGGAGAACAATTAAAAAGTTAACCACCTTACATCCCAGCTTCTATTTTCCTAATTTAGGTGTCATGGTGCCTAAGTGATGTCACTCTGCCTTTGGTGGGATCGCGGGAAAGTGAAGGATCCCAAATCTAGAAGAAATGTGCTGTACATTTTGACATGGGGAGTCGGGCTCCCTTAAATAGCAGTACCTTGAAATTTGATGCAAGGTCTACTTTAAAACTCTTGCTTGGATAGCTAAATGAAGAGTATCGTGAGGGCTGGAGTACTTGCCTTTCCTGGTGAAAAAAAAGCTAGGTACTTATCACATAATAACTGCAGAAGGGGACAGCCAGTCTGAACTTTGTTCCTTCCTTTTGCAAAGATCACATGCCTAAATTTTGACTTTGTTAGCTCAACTGAAGGCAGCCTACAGCAGCATTTTCATCTGGAAAAGTAATTCAGCTCTTCTTTTCCTTTTTATATATCCTTACTACTAAGACTTTTAAAGTGACACTAAACTCAGGAGTTAAATCTTAAAAATGCATTCAAGTATCTTAACTATTAACAAAAATGCAGCTTATTTGTGTATCACTCAGCGATGAATCATCAAATTATCTCTGAATTCAGTGAATTACTGTGTAGTAAAGTAGCCACCGCTGCAAGGTCACTTCCCGTAATGGATTACAATCTGACATTTAGTTTACTAATTTGTATTGAAATTGTAGTCCATCACAAGAGCGAGCATGGAGCGGTGGCTACCATGAGGAACAAAAGTAGCCACCCTCCAGAAGGAAGGACAGTGTCAGCACCAATTCAGAGATGATTTAAAGTGACACTAAACTCAGGAGTTAAATCCAAAAAATGCATTTAAGTACCTTAACTATTAACAAAAATGCAGTTTATTTGTGTATCACGCGGCTGTAGATCTTCAAATCATCTCTGATTTGGTGCTGACACTGTCCTTCCTTCTGGAGGGTGGCTATCTTTGTTCCCCAAGGTCCCTGTGTGTGTTGAAAAGTAGCCACTGCTCCAAGCTCGTTCTCAATGATGGACTACAATCGCAATATAAATTATATAACTAAATGTGAGATTGTAGTTCATCACAGGAGTGAGCTTGAAGCAGTGACTACTTTACAACACACACGGGGACCATGGGGAACAAAAGTAGCCACCCTCCAGAAGAAAAGACAGTGTCAGCACAAACTCAGAGATGATTTGAGG